GAGGCTACGTTCTAAAGCAGGTTCCTGCCTGGTGATTTAGCCTGCCTGAAGTTCCGCAAGCCCAAATCGACAGACTAGACGCTCTGTTAAACAAGCTGTTAATTGACAACGCCGTTTCAGCAGTACGGACGGACGATTTAGTAGCCACCAGCCCGAGGGGGCATGGCCTTCAAATAGGAGAGCAATTTTTGTAAGTGACGTGAGGAAATTAATTGGACAAATACTGTAAAAAGTCCTCTGACTTGGCCTAGAGCGGGCCGGGGTTTTCAGCCGATTAGGTCGAGGTTAAATGCAAGAGATGAAGACGTTGTCGTAAGGACCTAACCTGGTGTCTAGCAGTCTGTGGAAAACCGGTAGCAGGGGAAAAAACTTGGGAGAGGAGTAGATGCGGAAATGTGTATGAGCGATCGGCTGTCCTCAGAAGTGGGACTCATCCCTCCCCCCCACCCCCAACCCGATAAGACAACTTTCCGAATCCGACAAACAGCCAGTTAATATTTTTGGTCTATAAAAACAACCACTTTAGTTCAATAAACGCATCCATGCAACTGCGGATGCCTATGCACTAACAAATCGATCGATTTTCCAAAGCTGACATATTCCCAATACAAGAGCCTTCAGGTGGCTTTCCAACTGGCCATTGACGAACAAAAATCTGTCCGTGCTGATGTTCACGAGGTACACTGACTTCCCTTGGCCAAAGTGAGGGCCAAGGAACGAAGAAAAGTTTTTGCAACCAAAAAAGCACAGAAACTTCCCACGCAGACAAGAGTCCCCACTCTACCTGAAGGTTTTGAAATGCGACTGGGCGGAAGTGTCTGGAAAATGAGATCAGCGAGATTCTTATCAGTGGGGACCTTAGTGGCAGTTTCTTCCGACTCCTTGATGGCTGGTGTCCCTGTCGCTTGGTGCTGCGGGCCCACATCGACATCCTGTTTGATAGCCTCGAGAACCATCTCTAGAATTTTCTGCCTGAGCGTGACACAATTCAGAAAAAAAATCGACAGAAGTCGTAATCGTTCCGGAGGACAACAAAGTAACGAGTAACAGTAAGACACGCCAATAAAATACACCAACAATGCAGGGTCAAAATTCTTCTGTGTTCAAGTCCGATCTAGATGGCCTAACTTATACCAAACTTACTGCCTTTTCACACGCAATAATCTGCGGTGACGGCTCTGGCAGCC